CTCTGCTCGAATGGGATTCAGGCAAATGTTTGATCTTCGTTACACAGAAAACCTAGAAATCTCTGAAATGACTTTAGCGTTGGTATCTTCGGATTAAGAACGGAACTGTGTGTCCAAAAAGTTTGGCAAAGATAGGAATTGCCTTTGTATGCTATTTATCTCCCTCTCAAAATTTATTCTGCTCTGTGTTTAATACTTGTAAGTTCTTGAGATGTAGAACTTACCCGCCATCATAGTGTGTGTTAATCTGGTATCTTGGGAGAGAATGATAATTAGGTTCAGTTAAACACATGCAATTGGACATCAGCAAATGTGTAACTCCCACCTTATTTGTTTAAACTTTAATATATTGTAATCAGGGACCCTTTGGTGGACATCATTTGGGCGGGGATTCATGTCCACCAATTACTTTTGAGGTGGCCCCTTATTAAAATTCCTTGCCATTTTGTTGTTTAAGTTTCTATTAACTACAGACTTCTGATGGACTTCAAGAGCTTCTTTGCGAGTGCATAGGCTTAAACATGTTGGGAATTCTAGAAGGTAAAAGGAAAGGACAGCAACATCCACAGAAATCCTTTCCTGTCCTTTACATGTAGCTGTTCACGACATGTCTGTTCTTGAAGTGAATAATTGCTGGTCAAAGGGAAAAGGAATAATACACGGAAGCAAGACGATAGAGACTGAAAGGAATGTTGGCTCTTTATTCATCTCATTTTCATTCATCTCGTTTATTACTTTTGGAGTATGTGCTGTCTTGGGGGGCCAACATGCCATTCATAATTATTTTGCAGCATTCATAAGCTTGTAAATGACGGAGCCAACACATGAATAAACATAATCGATATAGCTGGATATTGAAAAGCAGCTGCAAAGTGATAGACATGGACAGTGAAAAAGACAGATGTTAGCAAGTCATGTCAGCTGGATTCAGCCTTTATTGATATATCGCAGGCGGGAGAGTCCTCACATGAACAAAAGATGTCGCTTCCCTGCATTTGCAAATTGGGTGTTGTTCTCACCAAACAGCCAAAGCGTAACACCACATATCGCGCTTTCTGGAAGGGATGGATGGACGACCGAGCAACTGCAGTTGCATTTTTGCCAACGGATGATGCATGTACGACAGGAGCATCCACGTGCGCCATCACGTGTGCAAAGCACTTCGGCAAGACTCCGCTTGCAATGTGTAGCAGCCATAAGAGGCAGCTGCGTGCAATGAAGCTTTTGAATGAAATCACAACTGTGTCACATGTTCTCAGCACGGCAAATTGCAGTCTATTGCTGCCGCGTGTACCATTGTGTTGTATGCCCATATGGAAAAGCTAAGATTAATTCACCCAGCTGCCGCATGACCAGTCAAACTGTCAAGCAAGTAGCATGCATGTGCATTATGACAACACCTTGCATGTCAAATACTATTTTGCATCTCGGTAGTTCATACCAGCACCTGTCGCGTATGTGTTCTGCTCGCTCATGGATCATGCGTGCCTGTCTGTGCTTGCACCGAGCGCGTGTGTCACGTAAGCTGCTGTCCTTTGCATCTTCTGGTTCAGCAAGCATCTGGCAATGTGGGAAGCTAGAAGGTCTGACTGCTATGGGTATGGGTCAAAATTCAACCACCAGGGACCGCAGGTTTTGGTCCATGTTTCCACTTACCAAGGGTTCCATGTTGGGGGCATATGTCTGACCCACAGCCTTTTTGACGCTGCAGGGCCGGCTGGGCAAAAAAAAGGCGTCCGACGCAAAGAACAGCGCCTGCAGTGATCGAAGAATCTCTCTCACATCGTACTGCACTGACCTCAGTGAACTGATCGTACTCATTTAGAGCGGATCATCACGACACAGGATGGTCGAATTCTCTCAGGAATCAGAATTCCTACCAATGCAGAGTTCTCTCAAGCTCTTCATGGCAACGTTAACTTGCAACTTTCAGAACATCTACGTATTTGCGCGCTCATTCACCTGCGTTTTGTTTGAACAGGGACAAAGAGCCACGTGTCTGGTGCCTTTGGGCTGGAGAGAAAGTTACGGCCCGCTTGTTAGAGTGCAGTAACATTCAACATTACATGCTGGCGTAAACTGTCAAGATGCACGAAGCAAACATAATCAAGGGAGTGATGTGCTGGCATTCTTCACTGGGCTGCCCGATTTCTGATCCCCCGCTACAAGTGACTGACTTTTAGTGGGTTAAAATTGGAAACTATAAAGGATCTAAAAAGCTAAGGAACCGGATGGCTGGCTTCACCACCAGGTTCCATGAGCTTCTTGCTCATCTGCACAAGTTGGATGCTCCAGGAACACGACTCGCTAATGGCGGCCACCGGATGAGTCGAAATAGAGGCAACCATTACGATATTCAAAGCGTGGTGTCTTCGCAGATTATTTGTTACCGGTAAGCCCGCGGTACCCAACCAAAACAGCTTGGCTAATCAGGAAAACCAATTCCAACGAACAAGAAATTCAAACTATTTGAGGGTCCAGGCATTCTTAGGCATGCCTCTTATCAGCCAAAACAAGCTGGGAATCGGTCGATATGATTGGAAAGCTCAACCTGATCCAATGAAGGCATATCAAGCAACACGAGGATACATCACCTGCATCTGATTGAGTCAAGGAGCAGCTGCGCGTATGGCCTCAGGTCTACACCATGGCGAATACCCAAAAAGCACGAGGCCCACGAACAGCATAAAAAACTCGCGCGCCATAGTCGAAAGAAGCTGAAGGCTGACTGCCCTCAAACTAGCAAGCAATGCTGACACAACAAACAAACCATATTTCTGACCAAGGCTTGAGAGACTCAGCATGACTCACAAGTGCAACAGCAATCAGTTTGAGTGAACTTGTGATGGCGCGGCCATCACAGCTGGAACAAAGCTAGCGCTTGGCCGCAAGTGTTTAACAGCAATGGAGCTCATAACTGGCATGAGTGCAAACTGCTAGGCATGGTCATAAATCATATCTTTCAAGGAAATGCGCAATCCGTTCAAGAAGCGCATCTGGTTGAAGTTTGTACTTGCGCCATGCTCCTCTGTTCTCGGCAAGGTTCTCCAAGTCCAACCCTGATCGTTCCGTCATTTCTGTTCATTTCCACCAACTGGCAGCGTCATTTGTTCCTCATGTTCAACTTGGAAGAAGTGAACATATCTTGAGGCTGTCCATCACTGGAAGCTTTTAAACATGTCCATGTCAAATAGTTCCCGCCGTTAAAGTTATTGCAATTGTGGTTCAAAAATGAGAGTATGGGCTCTGTCGTCCGAAAAGCAATGGGTGCTGCTCATCAATTGATGCCGTGCCACGGGCCAAGTCATTCCCACCTAGCCCTCACAAAACAACGCCCTGCAAGCTTCACTGCACCACTTCGCCACCTTACATCCAAAGCAATCATGAGACAGTTCGCCTGTGCATTTCCATGGCCCCTGGACCAGTGCGAAATTGGAAGTCGTCCATCATAAACTGGCTCAGTCACACCAAACAGCCAGGTGTCAAGTAGCACACAAACATGTGCACACTGCACACTGTGCAAAACATCCCATGACGTTGAATGCCGAATATCATGTGGTTGGAGACTTTCAACGACTTCTCAAATGCCTGCACAATTCCACATGCACATGCTCTTTGGATTTTGCTCGACTCAGGCGTCAAGTATATAAACACCGCCCGATGTGCGTCCAGCTCTGCACTCAGCTTTGCGGAGAGTTGCTGTCGGCAAGCCCTTGCAGAAAGATTAACGGCACATGCCCTATGGCAGCGATGTACGTCCACAGCTTCGAGTGGATGAAGTTGGAGCCACGTGCGCATGTTGGTCAACAAATCGAATCACGGGCGCACCTACAATACCCATCTCCCCACCCCCACCCCCCCCAAAAAGAAAAAACGCGTAGGTTTCGGGCAAGGCACTGAAGTTGAAAGATCCCCGGCAACGAGATGAAGGGGAAGCCAAGCCGAGTCAAAATGGCCAAGCCCACGTCGAAGTACTGAGTCTTTGCCGCCCTCAGTGTCTCTATGCAGCCCACACTCAGGTCAACCCGCTAAGAACCACACGGAATGCTAAAAAAGCGGCGCAGCTTTGAGAAGCGACGCGTGATAGAAGGCTGAATTGTCCGTGTATGGTATACATGTGCTTTGTCCCAAGATGTGCGTTCAGTCCTTGTTGGTGTTGGATCAACCACAATCACAAACAATCTCTAAGAGGCTTGTCTCTGTTGACTGTTTCACGCACTGACCTCAGCAGTCTTCTTTTGAAATCCTCGGCAGAGTTGTTCAAGAGCGACCTCGATCCTCGCAAAGCTGTGAGGAGTCTCAAAAACAATTCAGGCTCAGGTCTTGCGTTTCCGTATGCATGTGTTTGTGTGTGTGTGTGTGCGCGGGCATCTGTGTTGTTTCGTCTGTAGTCTGAGTGCCCCTTCTGCATATGGCTATCGCATCTCTCTCTCTCTCTCTCTTTCTCTCCCCCCTGCTGTGCATGTGCCCTGTATCAGCCTGCATATTTTTGCTTGTGTGCCCTCTGCCCTGCCTAAAAGCGCATGCGTGCAATGTGTGTGTGTGTGTGTGTGTGACAGAGAGTGAGCGTAAGTGTGTGTGTGTGTGTGTGTGTGTGTGTGTGTGTGTGTGTGTGTGTGTGTGTGTGTGTGTGTGTGTGTGTGTGTGTGTGTGTGTGTGTGTGTGTGTGTGTGTGTGTGTGTGTGTGTGTGTGTGTGTGTGTGTGTGTGTGTGTGTGCGTGCGTGCGTGCGTGCGTGTGCGTGCGTGTGCGTGCGTGCGTGCGTGTGTGCGTGCGTGCGTGCGTGCGTGCGTGCGTGCGTGCGTGCGTGCGTGCGTGCGTGCGTGCGTGCGTGCGTGCGTGTGCGTGCGTGCGTGTGTGTGTGTGTGTGTGTGTGTGTGTGTGTGTGTGTGTGTGTGTGTGTGTGTGTGTGTGTGTGTGTGTGTGTGTGTGTGTGTGTGTGTGTGTGTGTGTGTGTGTGTGTGTGTGTGTGTGTGTGTGTGTGTGTGTGTGTGTGTGTGTGTGTGTGTGTGTGTGTGTGTGTGTGTGTGTGTGTGTGTCTGTGTGTGTGTGTGTGTGTGTGTGTGTGTGTGTGTGTGTGTGTGTGTGTGTGTGTGTGTGTGTGTGTGTGCATGTGTCTCTCCATGTTTGTGGGTGTGTACGTCCTTGCTAACCAGATTGACCTTCCAGGTCTCAAGCTCAAGCACCAATCCCACAAAGGCCGACTCCCAGACCCTTCGCTCTTTAGTGAAGCAAGCGTCACTCTCTCTCTCTCTCTCTCAGCCAAGCAGCACTTCCTCCTTGTCATCCTTCGCGCGGAGAACCACTCGCGACTCGTTCCCGCGCTGGAAGGCAGATCGGAAATCGGCCTAGGAAGGCAACAGGCCATGACGAACAGGCGAAGCCGTGGGCGAGAATCACTCAATACTGCAGCTCCAAGGAAGTGGAGGCTCAAAAGCCAAACTGTCTTTGTCACAGTCACTCTCTCCCTCTCACTCTCTCTCCCTCTCTCCTCTCTGCTAGACAGGTCTGCCTGTCTCCATGCCATGATACATACTGTACCTTTCGGCCGTACAAGAGGAAACACATGCACAGACACGACATTGCTGTTATGTCAATGCACCTATCATCTTCCCGACAGGTTTTTCACATGAGACGTAGCCAGCTGATTTCTAGGAGTGCATTGGGAAAACATGCTGGAAACGTATATAGGAACATTCCTTCATCGGCAAAAGTTCAACCTGCAGTGCATCCATACCAACTCTGCTCATCAATGCAACCGGTGCGCCTGGCCACTACTGTTCATGTTTGCCAGAATTTTCTCGTACTTGTCCGACAGAAATTTCCTGGCGTTGCACAGCTGCCTTATTGACCACTCAGTGATGTCAAGGAATTTGGTGCAAGCTACGTGTCCAATCATGCACTAAACTAGACATGCCCCTTGGCATAAAGCGCGGCACCCCGGAATATACGTGACGAACAGAACTACTAAACTTTGCTTCCTAGCAATGATCAGCTTTCAACCCGTGACTCGGTCTTCTCAGCTGTCCTTCCGACGATTTTGCCAACCTAAGGAGTCTGCGAGCAAGCTAGGGCAATAATACACATGGCACGCCTGAAACTGCACGTTTTCAAGTGGGAAATGAAGGCAAAATCCACCACAACATTACATCGGCATCCAAGAATGCAGCCTTGAAAAGGCTTGTTATTCTCAGGGCTCACACTTTGCGTGGCCATTTCGACTCTCGCTACAAGTAGTGCCCAGATTTGCCTTCATTGAGACGAAAGCTCCAACCTTCTAAGTAAATTTGGCCGCTCCAATCCGTCCCAGCAGTCGCATACCTGCAACATAGCTCACTTTCTGAGTATGGATCGAGTCTCAAAGGGCCTAAGAACCATAAATCGCAAGGGCAACAGCCATGCATGAACCCTTGTCCACCACAATCGACAGGCTGCTGCAGCCCTGCCGCTTTAATATGAACAAGCTGCCTCTGCATCATCCTGACATGTGCCTTCCCCTGTTCGGGCCTGAAAATGACGATTGCTTAATCAAGCTATGCAACTCTTGTCTCGCTAAGTCCGAACGGGGCTCCTTCCAATGGAACTTCTTCCCAAGTTCCAGCTGGATCTGGATTTCTGGATTCCAGGCTTAAGCTCACAGCTCAAACCAAGCCCTGCCCCACAGGCTGCCCAGGCCCTGCCTCACATAGGTCAGAGAGAAGTAGCCCAAGGGCACCTGATCAAATCCAGATGACCGAGGCACCCGTACACCACGATGTTTTTGTCAAGAAAAAGGCTGCGCCGACCTAGACCCTCCCTCCAAGTAACACGGCACCTGTGATGAAAGGGTACCTGGAAGGTCAAACTCCTCTTGGGGGGAGTCCCCTTTCAGGTGCCATGTTGGTGGGAGAGAGGCTATCCATCATTATGCAATTCTTGAGGAGTATCTGTTGCGAATCAGTTGCCGGGTTGGCATTGATCACCCAGACCAGTACTCCGCTTTTCGCCCAAACGACAAAAGGAGTGGTGAACCCAGGATGGATCCTTTCGCAACGGTGTTGATTGACTGGAGCACGAGATGACCATTGGCCACTCTCTTTTTCTAGTACCCTCAAAGACAGCACCAAATGACAGCACCCCACAAACCAAACCTTCTTGGAGGCCAAGAACAAGCGGCGGGTTCACTTCAGGTTCTCTTTGTAGGGGTGATCAGAGTTGCATTGCGAGCGGGACTTCAGGTTCTCTTTGGCTAGGTCCTTCAGTAAAAAGTTTGGAATAAGGGTACCCTTTTCTGTAGTCTATTTTAGTAGGGGAACCCTCCCCCAAAAAACGGTGAGACAGGGCACTACTGGGGGACCTAGTTGGCATCAGGGTGATCAGAGTTGCGCGACGCTTCGAGATCCGTCACCGGCGGGGGGCCTCTGTGAGGTCAGACTCCTCTCTGTAGTCGCCTGGGGAAGGAGCCAATGACTGCAGCTAGGGACTGGTAGCTGCCAAGGCGTGCTACACCTTTTGACTGGAAGATGTGACTGATCATATCCCTCACGCCTGCTGAACATTTAAACAGGCATACCTGGACAAGTTCTCAGGGCAGTCTCAAGGGGCAATGGATGCACATCTAAGGTTGCATTCAGAATCCGTAGTATTTGAGAGACTTGGCTTTGTAAACAGTGCCTCGGATACCATAGAATCGGATGTTCTTGTGATTGACGTGACCTAGCCAAGGTGCTAGTGACTGACAAAAATTGAACTATATATATATATATACGGAAGCTGCCAAGGCTTGGGTCCAAAGTGGATCCATAAGCATTGCCGCGCTTCAACATCTTTCCCGCCTACTGTGACCCTGCTTCTTCTCTGTGTATCGTTGCTCCGTCACGGACCATCAGTCCCCTTTCGGCTTTTTGCAGACCTTTGCGCAGCAACTGCGAACAAAAAGACACTAGGCCGAAAGTCTATTGCTGCTCTCTCTAAGGTGCAGAAGTTCGCGCCAAAATCACGTTTCGAGGTGTTGAGCTCTGCCAGTCACCGACACTAAGCGCGAACGCGAATTGTCCATTGGTTAACCAAGCTGGGCTGAGTAGATTCGGCACCATCGCATTGGTAACCTTAGTTTGCAAATGGAATGGAGATCAGAAACACGTTTGACAATGCGCTAGAACAGTCAGGTCATGGTAGCTACGCTTTCAGCCTGCCTATCAGCCAAGTAATTAATTATTACTTTGCAGCCGCAAATGGCATAAGCTCGTTGTGCTCTACCCCATGACATAGGTCTATCGTGCCGCTGGGCTCCTTGCTGATGTCTCAAAATACAAGAGGCCGGAAAAGCCGAAAGGTCAAAACGCGACTACTCCGACCGAAGAAAACAAATACATGAAGAAGAGAGGAAACCATCCGAAAACACACAAAAAAGCGCTTCCTCCAATTCAAGTGATGACGGCATCCAGGCTCCCGGCGAACGTGGCCAAACAGTGTGTGGGCACTCTCCCGCTCAAGCCTGGCTGGCTGTGGCATGCAGGCAAGAGCGCTGGCCTTTGGTCGGTGACAGTGCAACGACAAAGCAAACGCCCAAACCTTGTGCTCAAGAAATTGCCAAATCTTAAATCTCCTAGCTCAAAGAACACAACCCCGGGTCATCACCTAAGACCCGAGATGTGGCAAGGCCTTCTCCTTCTCCTCCTCCTCATTATGGTCCTCATCATCAACCAGCACCACCATCACCATCACATACCATCACCATCACCATCACCATCACCATCCTCATCATCCTCATCATCCTCATCATCCTCATCATCCTCATCAGAATCATCATCCGGTGTTGCAAGGGAAGCCATGTGCTACACTCACCAAACTTGAGTAGTAAAGGAGGCTAAGCACCAATGAGCCATGTCAGCAGGACACATGTTGACAGTGGCTCATGTTCCCTGTCCCCATGCGTGTGCAGGTCCCCAGAATAGGCAAGTCCACCCCACACAAGTCAAGACAGGGGAAGAAGCGCGCACTCAAGTTCCCATACAAGATATTGTCTGGAGGTACTGCGCATGTCATGCCAAAGGCAACTTCGCAACAATAGTTGGTGAGAGGGGCACGATGATTCCTATTCGGTCATTGATAGTCATGCGCGAAATGAGGGGCGCATGCGCATGCATCTTACAGTGTCTGAGATGGTGCTAAAAGCAGTTGTCATCTATGGTCTATGGTTGACTTTTAGGCCATGGAATTCAAACTTCTCATGGTCAGAAACAAGTCAAATAAACAGACTTCCCAGGCCCTCCTACCGTGGGCATCATCACCGAGTCAGTGTGAAGGCACCAGTGTGACAAACAGCCTGTGGGCTAAGCACAGGTGGGGCTGGAGAGCAGCTGCTACACAAAATATTGCTCAAGAATCGCAAAGCGGTGAACGGCAGTTGATGCCTGCTTGTCAGCCTTGACACACACACGCACACACAGACGCACACACGCACACACACAATGCGTCCCCGTGTGAGATCTCACAAACGATCGGTACTCCTGTCCGCCATCAACAAACCAGTCATATGAAAACAGTTAAACAGTCTAGTTATTATTAACTGCAAGCATCTGATAGCCCACGGACAGAAGTCAATCGTCAATAGACACAATATACAGCAACAAACAGTCAAGCTCCAACAAAGAACACACAGCAACAAACATGCAACCACTCCGATCCACGCGGCACGCGACGCAACCAACTTGGCTTCGCATGCAAAGACACAACCTGCAATACACAGATACATATTCAACAAAGCAACACCCCCCAGGCCGGACACAAACACACAGACACAAGCAATGCTAAAGCACGAAGCAAAACAGGATCTAAGCAGTGAGCAACGCCGCGAAGCCGCGATGCGACGCCTGGCCGCCCCCGCCATGACGCGGCGCAGGAGTCCAGGCTGAGCCTGCAACGGTAGAAGTTGGATTGGATGGGTTCCACTTTTTGACTCCTAGATAGAAATCAAACCCAGTTGTTTTTTTACTTTTGGGGGGAGTGAACCACTGGGTTTCAGTCTATCTTGAGGGAGTCAAAAAGTAGAACCTTGATTGGATGTGTCTTAAACTTGCAATTGGTGCGAAATCGGCAGGGCATGAGTTAAATGGAATGACCGCTATAAACCATCCGACTGGTGGTTTCCTTTAGGGTTCATTCCCTCATTCCCTGCTGGGCACCAGCAAGAAAACTGTGGGTGGTTTCCCTTTAACCCCAAAAGTGGTCCCTCAAAGACAACCCCATTCTGCGCAAAGCAATTTCTGGAACCAACATGTTTTTGTGTATTAGAACCTAAGTCTCTGGCTTGCCTTAAAGCCAGCATGAAGCTGCTGAAGTTCGGAGGCACCTCTCGCTGTACCACATGTTTATATGTTCATAGCTTCTGTAGCCAGTTGGGTTTCAAAAGGCAATCACCCATGCCGGCCCGAATAGTGGATGGATTCATCGTCGTTTCCCTTTCAAGCCAGGTCAGGTTGGTGGTTGGCCCTTCACAAAGAAGGCAAAACAAGCGAGTTTCGACAATTTGTTTTTGCATGCTTCCTATTTGCGAAATGATGCAAATTGTTGCCTTTCACCCGCCGACGACGACGGGTTCTCAAATCCATGATGGAGCATTGGAACCAAGACCGTGCTGAACATGGAAATAGCACGAGTAAAATTCAGTACGCCTCAATGCAACCTTGGCATGGCCTGAAACCAAATTCTTAGACTGTGTCACAGCCAAACCTTGTGGGATCATGGTCTGGGTCACTTGAGGATCTGCTTTCCAACTTCGGCTACTCTTCAAATGGATGTGAATGTTGTTGGCGGACCCTGTGGTGGACCTCAAAAATCCGGTGGTCAGCAGCCACTATTCTAGGGGTTGAATCCCCGTTCTTTTCAACCATCGTTCTTTTCAAACACCAGATCTGTTTTAACTGGGATTCCGGAGGTGTTCTAGAAAGATTCGGATCCCTGGAAAGAATGGAAATGGAAGGTACCCAATTTTATTGGACCCTGTGGTGGACCTCAAAAATCCGGTAGGGATTTATGTCCACCAACTACTATTGAGGGGCTTCCAACGATATCTAAACTTCGGCGCTTCACATTCGCCAAGGAGCCTGGGAGATGTGTGAGGCCCAGCACTTCAGCGTGTCCATATTCACTCGCTGCATGACATTCTCCTCAAATGGACACGTTAGCCGCGGGGGCGCGAAAGCATGTTGCAGTGGCCAAGAGAATTGATCCCGAGAACATCCGAATGATACGTACAAAGGAACAGCGAGTCATAATCATCACAACAATATTTATGATAAGAAATACCCAAACTATGCCTGATGGTAAATGTCCATCTACCAAAGCCTGCTCAGGTGCGTTTCAACACGCCCTTTAAGGTCAGTTCGAGGTGTCAGAAGTTGATCGGAGTACTGGAGTATGGGTCTAGGTCCTTCCTGGTTCTGAGCTTTGGAGGAGCGCGCTCGTGGGGCTTCACCTAAAGCAACACATTCTTTACTACGTACAGTCTGACTCGCGCGCTTGGCAGCGGCAAATATCACCCAACCTTGGCTTTCAGCCGCGCGGATTCAATGCAGTGCCTTGGGGCCTGGGGGTCAATGTGGATCGGCCCAAATCCAGCCACAAGTCGGTTGTAGTTGCATCTATGCGTCCATACATGGCAAAGAACACAGTGAACTCATGTCAGCCGAATAGCAAATACCGGTGGTAAATTCTCTGCCGCCCCATGGACCTTTTGTATAGCCTTCTCAACCCTCACAAGGTAGAGGATGACTGGTAGAAACAACTCCTTGTCAATCTACTGTTGGCATTGTCCCAAGCCTCACGTGCGATGTTAATTTGCGGAAACGCTCTCCGAAAACTATTCCCCGACCTGGAAACAACGTTAGACAATACAGTATTAGTTGTGTCTCTTGAGAAAATCACGCAAGACTGCCGTCCGGACTACGGCAAATGGAGAACCCAAACGCCCCAACACTACAACAATACATCAATACTCAACCAGTATCGAAGCGCTATTAAGGCCAGCAAAACCCACTGTGGCTCACAATCGCAAAAACCGGCACCACACGATAATATACTGCAGCGCAGCTACCCCCACCCGCCTGTAAAAAAACAACAACACCACTACCTAACAAGTGCAACACCAACACATTGTTCGAAACCGATCCTAAGTCAACGGATAGCAAAGTCGATGCCCCAAACAAGTTGTGCATTTCACTTTTTATGCAGAAGACCGCCCCAAGGCAAATGTTCTGGTGGGGAGAGAAACGCAAGGGGCACGTCCTCAGCCGCGCACTGCACGTGAAGCGTTCGGCGGTTAGTGACGAACATGCAGTACGTTGGCCACCCCCCGAACGATTAAAGCTAGCATGGTTGAGAGGGCGAGCAATTGCCCGCGCAGCAGCACAGGGCACCGACCCAGGGCAATCGCCCTATACGCAAAAGGGGAAGTCATCTTGGAAAGACTTTGACGCCACCGAGGGCTACGGGTGACTTGCGAAAAACTGCCAACGGTCTGCTACATACGGCTCTCTTCCTTTTTCCGGCGGCACAAGCGTGGCAAATGACGGAAAAGGGATTCCAAGTGTAGCGACTTCAAGCAAGTGGCTGGGCCAATAGGGCAAATACAAAACCAATATCAAAGGCAAACTAAAACCCGTACTCAATGTTCTCACCAATCTCACAACGTGGCCAGGCCCGGTTCTGAACCCGCTTTGTCTTGAAGGGGTTCTTCTTGTTTGACCCCCTTTGGCCCCCTGTCCAAGGGCTGCCTTAAAACAGAAATTCCTTACATTATAAACCTGAACATTGCCTTGTACATGGTGGATTCCCTTTATTTTGGTGGAAAAAGCAACATGTTTCAAATGGTTGCAAAATGTATCGTTTAAGGAGCCCTGTTAAAACACCAGCATGAAGGGGCTCCAACCGACTCGGTCGACGCTTCAGCGTTTCAGCCATGGGACAACCTGGTCGAAGTTCAGCACCCGCTGCGGGATGCCGGCAGCTGCGGTGGGAAGCACCTCGGATCGCTCGAGCTTGACCTATTGGGAATTCTAGGTCCTCCAGCTTGGAGAGGTTAGAAGAAGTTGGTACCCATGTTTTTTCCCGAAAGCATCGCGAAGGGTTCTTCCGTGCGGAGCCCGTGGACAAGTTACACAGAGCCAAGTTACATAGAGCCAAGTTACATAGAGCCAAGTTACATAGAGCCAAGTTACAGAGCCAAGTTGCATAGAGCCAAGTTACATAGAGCCAAGTTACATAGAGCCAAGTTACATAGAGCCAAGTTACATAGAGCCAAGTTACATAGAGCCAAGTTACATAGAGCCAAGTTACATAGAGCCAAGTTACATAGAGCCAAGTTACATAGAGCCAAGTTACATAGAGCCAAGTTACATAGAGCCAAGTTACATAGAGCCAAGTTACATAGAGCCAAGTTACATAGAGCCAAGTTACATAGAGCCAAGTTACATAGAGCCAAGTTACATAGAGCCAAGTTACATAGAGCCAAGTTACATAGAGCCAAGTTACATAGAGCCAAGTTAGCCATAGAGCCAAGTTACATAGAGCCAAGTTACATAGAGCCAAGTTACATAGAGCCAAGTTACATAGAGCCAAGTTACATAGAGCCAAGTTACATAGAGCCAAGTTACATAGAGCCAAGTTACATAGAGCCAAGTTACATAGAGCCAAGTTACATAGAGCCAAGTTACATAGAGCCAAGTTACATAGAGCCAAGTTACATAGAGCCAAGTTACATAGAGCCAAGTTACATAGAGCCAAGTTACATAGAGCCAAGTTACATAGAGCCAAGTTACATAGAGCCAAGTTACATAGAGCCAAGTTACATAGAGCCAAGTTACATAGAGCCAAGTTACATAGAGCCAAGTTACATAGAGCCAAGTTACATAGAGCCAAGTTACATAGAGTTACATAGAGCCAAGTTACATAGAGCCAAGTTACATAGAGCCAAGTTTACATAGAGCCAAGTTACATAGAGCCAAGTTACATAGAGCCAAGTTACATAGAGCCAAGTTACATAGAGCCAAGTTACATAGAGCCAAGTTACATAGAGCCAAGTTACATAGAGCCAAGTTACATAGAGCCAAGTTACATAGAGCCAAGTTACATAGAGCCAAGTTACATAGAGCCAAGTTACATAGAGCCAAGTACATAGAGCCATAGAGCCAAGTTACATAGAGCCAAGTTACATAGAGCCAAGTTACATAGAGCCAAGTGGCACAGAGCCAAGGTTAGGTAGAGCTTGCGTAGAGCTTCGGCGTTAGCAGCTATGTAAGTTAGTTTAGGTTTCTAAGGCGCCGGGGCGGGAGTTTGATCGTCGCTCGGGATTGCGACCCTCTGCGGAGATTCGCGTGGTCGAGGTCCAAAAACTGAAAACTTGCGCACGCGACCCTCTGCGGAGATGCGCGTGGTCGAGGTTCAAAAACTGGGGACTTTTTACGATTTCTGCGGGCAGCGCGCGACCCTTTGCGGAGATTCGCGTGGTCGAGGTTCAAAAACTGGGGACTTTTTACGATTTTTGGCATGCGCGCGCGACCCTCTGCGGAGATTCGCGTGGTCGAGGTTCAAAAACTGAGGACGTTTTACGATTTCTAACATGCGCGCGCGACCCTTTGCGGAGATCCGCGTGGTCGAGGTCAAACAAACTGAGGACTTTTACGATTTCTGCAAGCCGCGCGCGACCTTCTGCGGGGATCGTGCGTGTCGAAGCGCTCTCGCTGTGGCGCCGTGCGAATTTGTTGCTCGCGAAATGGCCTTTGGAAGTTGTCTCGTGGCTCGCGCGCTGCTTTCGCAATCCCGCGGTCGCGGGTTCGATTCCCCCCTGGTCCGCGGCTGCTCCGGCTTGAAAATCGCAGTTTTTGAGTTCAAACGTAGTACGCGGAGCGTGCTCCTACAGCTCCGGCTGGAAAATCGCAACTTTTAAGTACAGACGTAGTACGCGGAGCGTGCTCCCGCAGCTCCGGTTGGAAAATCGCAACTTTTAAGTGCAGACGTAGTATGCGGAGCGTGCTCCCGCAGCTCCGGCTGGAAAATCGCAACTTTTAAGCACAAAAACAGTACGCAAAGTGCATTCCCACAGCTCCGGCAGCACTTGCGCAGAGCAACTTGCGCTCTGCGAATTGCACAGACCACTTGCACAAAGCACTTGTGCAGAGCAACTTGCACAGACCAACTTGCACAGAGTCAAGCTGCGCAGAGCCATCTTGCGCAGAGCTAAGTTATACGAGCCTGCTTTGCAGAAACATACGCTTTCACAACATAGAGATTTTGTGTCTGACTCGGGCAGGAGCGGGTTGCTGTTGGCTTGTTTCTTTTTGTTTGGTGGGCAGAGCCGTCCTTCAGGGTGAAGTCAAATTTACCTGCAGTGTGCAAAGAGTGTTTCGCACATTTCTTTTGCAGCATTGAAGCAAGACTTCTCAGCAACAGCCTTTGCGCCCGGCAGTTGCTCCGATATTTTTTCCCCGAAAGCATCGCGAAGGGTTCTTCCGTGCGGAGCCCTTGGACAAGATACACAGAGCCAAGTTACGTAGAGCCAAGTTGCACAGAGCCAAGTTACATAGAGCCAAGTTACATCGAGCCAAGTTACATAGAGCCAAGTTACATAGAGCCAAGTTACATAGAGCCAAGTTACATAGAGCCAAGTTACATAGAGCCAAGTTACATAGAGCCAAGTTACATAGAGCCAAGTTACATAGAGCCAAGTTACATAGAGCCAAGTTACATAGAGCCAAGTTACATAGAGCCAAGTTACATAGAGCCAAGTTACATAGAGCCAAGTTACATAGAGCCAAGTTACATAGAGCCAAGTTACATAGAGCCAAGTTACATAGAGCCAAGTTACATAGAGCCAAGTTACATAGAGCCAAGTTACAAGCCAAGTTACATAGAGCCAAGTTACATAGAGCCAAGTTACATAGAGCCAAGTTACATAGAGCCAAGTTACATAGAGCCAAGTTACATAGAGCCAAGTTACATAGAGCCAAGTTACATAGAGCCAAGTTACATAGAGCCAAGTTACATAGAGCCAAGTTACATAGAGCCAAGTTACATAGAGCCAAGTTACATAGAGCCAAGTTACATAGAGCCAAGTTACATAGAGCCAAGTTACATAGAGCCAAGTTACATAGAGCCAAGTTACATAGAGCCAAGTTACATAGAGCCAAGTTACATAGAGCCAAGTTAGAGCCAAGTTAGCCAATAGAGCCAAGTTACATAGAGCCAAGTTACATAGAGCCAAGTTACATAGAGCCAAGTTACATAGAGCCAAGTTACATGGAGCTAAGTTACATAGAGCCAAGTTACATAGAGCCAAGTTACATAGAGCTAAGCTACATAGAGCTAAGCTACATAGAGCCAAGTTACATAGAGCCAAGTTCCATAGAGCCAAGTGGCACAGAGCCAAGTGACACAGAGCCAGGTGGCAGAGAGCCAAGGTTAGGTAGAGCTTGCGTAGAGCTTCGGCGTTAGCAGCTATGTAAGTTAGTTTAGGTTTCTAATGCGCCGGGGCGGGAGTTTGATCGTCGCTCGGGAATGCGACCCTCTGCGGAGATTCGCGTGGTCGAGGTCCAAAAACTGAAAACTTTTAACGATTTCTGCGGTGCGCACGCGACCCTCTGCGGAGATGCGCGTGGTCGAGGTTCAAAAACTGGGGACTTTTTACGATTTCTGCGGGCAGCGCGCGACCCTCTGCGGAGATTCGCGTGGTCGAGGTTCAAAAAACTGAGACTTTTTACGATATTTAGCATGCGCGCGCGACCCTCTGCGGAGATTCGCGTGGTCGAGGTTTAAAAACTGGGGACTTTTTACGATTTGTAGCATGCGCGCGCGACCCTTTGCGGAGATTCGCGTGGTCGAGGTTAAAAAAAACTGAGGACGTTTTACGATTTCTGCAAGCCGCGCGCGACCCTCTGCGGAGATTCGCGTGGTCGAGGTCAAACAAGCTGAGGACTTTTTACGATTTCTGCAAGCCGCGCGCGACCCTCTGCGGGGATCGTGCGTGTCGAAGCGCTCTCGCTGTGGCGCCGTGCGAATTTGTTGCTCGCGAAATGGCCTTTGGATTGTCTCGCGCGCCTGCTTTCGCAATCCCGCGGTCGCGGGTTCGATTCCCCCCTGGTCCGCGGCAGCTCCGGCTTGAAAATCGCAGCTTTTAAGTACAAACGTAGTACGCGGAGCATGCTCCTGCAGCTCCGGCTGGAAAATCGCAACTGTTAAGTACAGACGTAGTATGCGTAGCGTGCTCCCGCAGCTCCGGTTGAAAAATCGCAACTTTTAAGTACAGACGTAGTATGCGGAGCGTGCTCCCGCAGCTCCGGCTGGAAAATCGCAACTTTTAAGTACAAAAATAGTACGCGAAGTACATTCCCACAGCTCCGGCAGCACTTGCGCAGAGCAACTTGCGCAGAGTCACTTGCGCAGAGCAACTTGCGCAGAGCAAAGCAGAGCAACCAACTTGCACAGAGCACATGCGCAAAGCGCTTGCACGCGAGCAACTGCGCAGAGCAACTTGCTCAGAGCACTTGCGCAGAGCAACTTGCACAGAGCACATGCGCAAAGCGCTTGCACGGAGCAACTGGCGCAGAGCAACTTGCACAGACCAACTTGCACAGAGCACATGCGCAAAGCGCTTGCGCGGAGCAACTGGCGCAGAGCACTTGCGCAGAGCAACTTGCTCAGAGCACTTGCGCAGAGCAACTTGCACAGAGCACTTGCGTGCAGCAGCGTGCAGCTGCTTGCAGAGAGCAACTTGCGCGCAGCAGCCTGGAACAATGCAGCTTGCGCAGACCACTTTCGTGAGAAATCGCGCGGCGCAGTTCGAGAGGAAGAGTAGGATGATGAGATGGAGCTCTCATGTGACCATACACACTGAGCATCGCCGCGCGCAGACACGCTCGCCGCAGCGATGTAAAAAGGTGTCTCCGCGGCTGGATGAGCGCCTGTGGAAAAATGCTTTCGGGCCAATCGTCCTCTGGTTCTTCTTTTTTTTTCTCCGTAGTCTATTTTA